TGAAATTTTTGACTGACTGGTGAGACACCGTAAAATTTTTCAAGCCCTGTATATATATATATATATATACAGTATAACACATATAAAACTAATCTGCACAGATTGGGACGTGCACTCACTCACAGGTCACAGACTTGCTGCCAATGTTCTACTTCTATTAAAATGCAATGCAGTGAGACATCTGGTGGTAACATTCACAACTTACACCGGGATCTGTTATAGGAATGAGGAAGCCATCATTGTTTAAAGTGGAAGTAAAGTCAATTAAAAAAAAATGACAGGTAGGTTTTTCTGACAGAAGAGATTCTGTATATCTCTTCTGCCATAATTACTTCTTCCTGACGGCCAGAGTTTGTGTACACTGAGCGACACATGCGCAGCTCAGCGCTGAGACAAAGTAATTCCTGCACATGCGCTACCAATGCTGAAGACTGGTAAGCTGCAAAATAATACATTTTTACTTTTGGGTTTAGATACACTTAATTCTATGTGGCTTTTATCAACCAAATAGAAGAGTGTAGACGTCAAACAAGAGGTTCCACCTTCAGCTTCTTAGCATTGGCCCCTGACTAGCCAACCGATTTTATCATGATTGGGTAATATACCAAACTGTTTGCTTTCACTGGTAAGAAAATAAGGAGTGTTTAGACTCATATCACAAAAACTATAAAGCTTTTCCTATTTGATTGGGATCTGTATTTGATATTTCATGTTTGTTTGTTTTTTTTAGATTGAAATCAGACAATTGATACAAATGACAATACGCACCAACAAACACATGCTCAAATCCACTTGAATCAGCTTCTCCACTGGACCTAGAATAAAGTCCAAACCACATCTTCTGCAGGTCATCAGTAAACTCTTTTTCTGTGGTATATAGATCTGTGTGGATGATAATGAATCTTTTGTCACATGCTTGATGCAGATTACTGTAACTTTATGTAACAGAGGTAAAGCAAAGCTGCCATATGTGCAACAAAATTAAATGACACTAAACTCAGGAGTTAAATCTTAAAATTGCATTCAAGTACCGTAACTATTAACAAAAATGTATTTTTTTTGTGTGTCACACAGCTGTGGATCCTCAAATCATCTCTGACTTGGTGCTGACACTGTCCTTCCTTCTGGAGGGTGGCTAATTTTGTTCCCCATGGTCCCTGTGTGTGTTGTAAAGTAGCCACCTCTCCAAGCCTGCTCCCCTGATGGATTACAATCTCACATTTTGTTTACTAATTTGTATTGGGATTGTCATTGGCATTAACAATACAGGAAATGCCGGAACTACAGATCAATTTTATCGTAGTGCACTGCTACACAGATCCATCAGTCCCTACTGTTTTTTTGGCATTGGGGTGCCATTCTCAATGGACACATCGCACAGAGTTGCACGCATTACTGTGCATTGAGGTAATGTGTTGTAAAATGCAGCATTTTAGCACATAGGTGTTAAGCCAGCCTTCAGCTAAAGGATTTAGGGGTCTATTCACTAAGCTGCCGTAGGCAGCCGAGTGAATGACCGACCTGAAGTGAAGTGAGCCGAACACTGTTCGGCTATTCACTTCAGGCTGGTACAGCTGATTTCAGCCATATATCGGCTGAAATCAGCCGTACATCGGCTTGCTTAGCATGGCTCCGGGTCGGCCGAACATGCTCAGCCTGTTCGGCCGACTCGAAGTGCAGAAGGAGTTCGACTCAGCCGAACTAACATCTGGATCGGCTGCATAAGCTAGCCGAAGGATCGACCGAAGCTACGGCTAGATCCTTCGGCAGCTTTGTGAATAGACCCCTTAGTTTTTGATGATGTATGGAAGAACCCTGACAGGATGTTCTTGCTGTCTATCCTGTTAGGGAGATATTAACCTTCTCTATTTGTACTAGTGATCAATATCACCAGGACAGAAAGTGACAGAAAATCCAAAATGTTACTGTAGTCACTGGAAGAGAAAGTGAAGGGAAATATTTCAATGGGAAAAAACTGTCCTAGAATAAGGGAATTCCCCTCACTATAGAGACCGTTCCTCTGTTGTCTCTCCATGCCTACTTTAACCAAACCTAGTTTGGGTTTAAATATAATTTAAGGAAAACCTGTGCTGAAAAAAAAAAGAAAACTTAAAAGCTGCCACTGTTGCCCACCTTCTGAAAAGGCTAGTTGCCTGAAAGTATGGCTTATCCTCTGACTTCAATACAGTACATTCTGAGCCACTGACCTGGAACAAGGATGTAATAAATGAAGTCAGACTGAAGTCAAAGCTCCTGATCAGCATGCTTTTTCAGTGATGAGTAAAGATGTGATTAGATTATCATAACAGCTAGGCAACTAGCATTTTAAGAACATAGAGGTCAGTCTGGGTTTCATGCAATAGAGAACTTCAACTGAGTGATGCTTCTTACCTTTCTTTTGGAAAAACGTATAAAGTTCTTTCATAAGCTTTGTCTTCATCACTTCCTGCAAGAAATGTTCCTGCTCTTTTAACTCCTCTGGACTGTATGTTTCGTCTGTCCCTGTCTTCCTGTCATAATTGTCCAGCAGTTTTATGAAAGCTGCATACGTTGGTTTTGTAAACAAGTCTTCATTCACATACTGGTACAATCTGCAGAAAAGAAAGTACAACCAGAGACTGAAGATCTGACATCTCACTGCGACCCAACATGCTGGAAAATATATGCAATAGTCATTTCTGCCAACCTTCTAAGCACTAGTTTTACTCCTCAGTACCCATATTGTCACTCATGATGTGTCTAACACACCCTAATACATCTAACTCCACACAACCCCATGGAAGAAAACTCCACTAACCCACCACTAGGTTGTTATCGCTGTCCGTGTGTGCCCGCAGGGGAGAGTCGCTCTCTTTTTTTGTCCTGGTGATCATTGTCAACAAGACCACATGGGAGGGGAAAACCCCAAATTTCACTGGAACAGGAATGGAGGGGAATATTCCAATGGGGACATTAGTTGCAGTGACAACTGTCTAAGGATTTCCTTTCACTTTTACACTTTCTGTTGTGTCTATGGACAGTAAAAGGAGGGGGTTTCAATCCCTCCATAATTTATCCAAAACTAAAAGAAAAAGTTTTGGCTTAGGTGTACATTAACTCCAACAGTATTCTTCTATATAATATCCCCATTTTCCAAAAGCTAAAGGGCCACAAATATGCGAGTACTCTGCCATGCTGTTACTAGCCGATTTCCTTTCAGTACCACTTTTCAAACAGCAGTCCATTCCTGATGGTCCTCTGTTTCTACTAAAGCTCCAGTAACTCTAGAAAATGGGCAGGAATGCAGAATGGTTTCATGAATGTAGTAAAAAATTACACCGTGGGAAATGGACCCTAGGAATCTCTGGATGGTGGGGGTTCTGGCATCCATCTCTAGATATAATCATTCAGAGTATGGGAGTTCCAGTAGACTCAAAATGTGGTTCACTACTCCAACTTCACCCCTTGACAAGATGAATGGATTTTAACAAAGTGGTGAGATGGGATTTTTTCATCATCTTTGTTTTTATTGTTTTTGTATTGGGGAACAAGTTAAAGATCCATTTATCAGTTCACTAAGGGCATGGATAGCACCTTTCACAGGTACACTGAAAGGAATAAACTCTGTTATCAGCATGTCCGGGGACCTGTTGTTGTCTCCACTCATTGGGGTTACCAGTACATATAATTGGTATAAGGGTGCAGATCCAGCTTGTTGCACTTAAGCAAATAAGCCAGAGAAGAAAATGAATATCTGCATTTTGGGCTGTAGCAAATTAAATATAGTTTATTGAAAAAAAGAAGTAGTAAACACCTCTTTATTATTACATTTGAGGTTTTTTTTGCAATAATATAGAGAATAAGTACAAAATAGTGGTGAAAAAAGCACTTGTGGGTTTAACCAATCATGATTAATTCTTCATGGACAACATAACTAGAGGCATGGTAGGCTTACTAAAACGTGTATTTTTCCTATCTCAGAAATTTGTGAGGCATGCTAAGAAGAGTGTACTTTTAGGTCTCATTTTCTTAAAAACGTCACATTCAGAAAGTAATAAACATTCCAAAAGAGCTCTTTATTTTGAATTACTTACGGTTCATCACAGAGGTCTTCTCTAGTAGTATCTTTCTGCACCATTTCCTGTTTGTTCAGTATGATATCTGATTCCGCTGCTTTGTTAACATCTGACTGATACAACTTTTCAGATATTGCCTTTACATCCTCATTACTGATATCAGCTCCGTCTCCTAGAACAACAGGACACACGCTCAGAAGGGCTGGTTTGACATAAGCAGCCCCAGGGTCCTCTTATGAGCCTTCCAATGTATGGATACAATGGTAGCCAGGCACGGGTCAATAAAAACAAGTGATGCAAAAAGAAACCTAGCCAAAACTTTATTTCTATTTTATATGTTATATATGTTATATTTTGGTGGTTAAAGCAAAATAAAATAGTTTAAACTCAATTTTTAAACATATTACCTGATTTTTTATGGTGAGATGCTTCAATAAAGTTTGAATCAATATCTGTAAAAAGGCGAAATAATAAAATAAATAAAGGAAAATGGTTAAAAAAAGAAAATCAGGGATTGTTTTAGAATTGTATAGTTACCAATTACTGTATGGCAATTTAGGACTGAGCTGCAATCACTTACTAAGGCTGTGCACACACCTTACAACCTTTAGTCTTGCGATGGTTGTAAGGTACTTAAAAAAAACGTACGATCTGCCTATCTTGCATAGGCAGATCGTACTTGCGATGATCGCAAGCCACGCCCTGAGGGGCGGTCTTCCGATGACCGCAATGCCGAACGGGCAGTGTGCACTTGCGCACACCTGCCTGTCCGGCTTTTATCTTACGAACATGCTACACACCCGCCAAACATCGTATGATGCTCGGCGGGTTTTCAAACATGTTCGTAAGTTTAAAGTCGTGCGACCTTACAGTAGTAGAGGTCGCACAGCTTCCACACACCTTACGATAATTGTACGATCGCGTGATTTCCCGCGATTATCGTACGATTATCGTAAGGTGTGTGGGGACCTTAAGAAAGAATTGTAACGTCTCTATCAATGAAGGGGTATGCTCCCAAGGTCCTCTTGTGAGCCTTCCAAAAACAAATGATGCAAAAAGAAACCTAGCCAAAACTTTTTTTTCTTTTTTATTTGTCTGATAGAGAAGTCTTAGAAACATGGTGAAGTTTATATTGCCATTTTCTTCACTTTCTGTCCAGACAGGACCAACCACTGGAACAGGAAGAGAAGGAAATCTTCACAATGGGAAGCAGGCATCAATAAACACTTTGCAGATGTGTTAACCACTTCCCAAATTGCTGAAAAAAATGTTTTTTTTCATTGCTGTGATCCTGTTGGAGACATTTCCCTGCACTTCTTAACCCAGGTGGCACCTATCACCAAAACAGGAAATAATGGGAAATCTTGTATATGCGGGTACAGGAATTAGTAGAAACCTGACTGGGGTTCTATCCAATATCAATCAATACAAGACTGAAAAAGGCTTTGATAGACTGCTTTTCTGCTTTTAAGAGACAACTAATTACATTTGCATATTAGTTATTGCATTTCCTTTATAATATGCTCCCCCGGACTCAATTGCTGCAGACAATGTTAATTCTTTGTGAAACTTTACACCTAGAGCAAGGTAGACCCAAGCCACTTTCTCAGGCTGTCCTGCCTTCCCTGATCATCCCCCTCCCATCCATGACACTGCTGCCTTTCCATTTTAGCTTACTTCCCATCTCCAGCCATCTTAACAGTCTGTGTTATGTATACAGAGGCTGTGACCGGAGAGCATGTGTATACAGGGCTGCTATAATACAGCAATCCGGGCTCTTCTAGAGAAATCCAAGTTGGTGGCACCCACAGTGCTCTAACAGTATTATGCAAAGTGTACAGAGGAGGAGATTTAGGGCAGCATGATTTCACCCACCACCACCTAACATGTAAAGAAGCTCTGGAGCCTCTGGTGACTCTACACACCTCTTTGGGGAATGCTGTCAGAACTCCTTGTTCCTTTTTTATCCTTGTTAGTGCTGCTGGTACCTCCACTGCATAGTTCATCATAGTTAGTACAGCAGTTATTGAATTTAGCGCATTTTTTATTGCAATGGCAGGTATGTTTCTTGTTATATTTCTCACCACATCTTCCCTCACAGGTTGTATCTGTGTGGAAGAAAGTCAAAGGAGATGTATTTAGGTATGAAATACCCTTGTCAACTTCATTTTGAAAATGCTGCTTGACTGCAATACATTCTGAGCCACTGACCCACCATAGCCATGTACCCAGTGAAGTAACTCGCAAATTAGTAATCCTAATCTGCATACATGTTCTGGGTTATTGACTTTAAAAAGTGTTAAGGTCATAGACTCAATGTAGCAGTCAGGAATCTAGCAATTATAAAAGGAGAGTTGAGTCATATCAGTCTACATATTTTCTCATTATAGGTTTTCTTTTACTATTTCACCGTTCAGTGTCATGTTATTTTTAGGTTGTGGCATTGTGGCATTTTAAGCTGCTTTGTGGATGACAAACTTTTTTTTGTCTGTGTAGAGGCTAACCTGGATATGATTTTTCTGGACCGTGTACAGGACACCAGGAATGGGTCCTGGATGGACGGTATATGCCTCCCTTGTTTAGGTGGTGGTCCCGTTAAGGTCACCTTGTATTCAGGGTTCCCGCCAAGCAGGGTGCGGGGTTCCGGGTCGGACTTGTAAGAGAAACTGCTAGGCAGTTTTCCCAGAGTTGTTAATTATACATGGGTCCGGGAATCCAGAGGCTCAGAGAGATTTTTGGGTGAGACAGAGCCTCCATCCCTGACTACAGCCAGTTCTGGTAATGAAAGGGTTAACCCACCAGCCAGAGGGTGTGTTAAAAAGGAACAGGAAGCCAGTCAGTCGGTGTCTGTGAGGAGTGTTTGGAGCAGGACACATGGCTGTGTGTGTTAAGCTGAGGAATACAGTCTACCGAGATACTGCTGGGGCACCTGTGTCCATACTGGAACCCTCTGTGAGCAGGCTGGGACTCTAACCCTGAGGTGGGACTTGGTATACAGGTGCTGAGCCGAACCTTGTATTTGCTGACAATATGCCCTGTTGATTTTATCATTCTGCTGAATATAAGCCATTTTTATTTGATTGTTTGTGGAAAAGAATAACAGTTTATTTGCTGATACAGCTGGCTACGGGTCATATCCGCCCTGAATATTACAACAGTTATCTATTCATGTAATATTATAGCTGTTTTTTTAATAAATATATTCCCAAGAGTTCTGCCTGCACTAAGTTGTTTAATGAGCAGAAGCTGCAGACATGTATAATGGTGTCAGCATGTTCTTTCTTACATTGTTGCATTCCTTTAAGGTTTTTCACTGATTGTTATACTTTGTTTACACTTATGTTATGTACTTTCTTCTCATCATTTTCCTTATCAGTTTTTTAAGGTATTAAAATTTTAGTGCAGAAATTGCAACATGGTGAATCCCTTAATAAATGAGAATAATACAAGAAGAGATCAGCAATGTCATACTATGTATTTCTCTCACTACAAGGTAACCACTGGTATAACACCTTACTCCCCCCTGCCGCCTAGGATTGAGGTGACCCTCAAGTAGCCTTAGGCCCCTTTCACATCGATGGTCCGATCTGGTCCTCCAGTCAGTTTCTCAGGTGCACCTGGTCGGATGCCTAATATAAGCATCTGGGCAGCCGTGTCTAAATGGACTGCTGGCATCTATTTATACCCGGTTACCCCCGACCCTGGCCAGGTTCAGAAAAACAAACGGAACAGTGTTTAGTTTCAAGGGACCTGATCGTGCCAGAGTGAGGCTAATCTGATGTAAACTGACACACACTACTGGAACATACTCATCAGTGGATGGCAGAAGCAATCAATACCCTAAATTTAGAAACTTTAACACAGAATTACTACAGCTTAAATGCTTCGAAGAAACACAGAACCAAACCAGACACTGCCGCCTAGGACAGGGAACCTACACTGGCAAACTCTTCT